CCCCCCCCCCCCCCCCCCCCCCCCCCCCCCCCCCCCACCCCCCCCCCCCCCCCCCCCCAAAAAAAAAAAAAAGTTGAAACCTCTCCTTAATTCTAGTAACATGAATGGTATATTGAGGATTACCCTGATCAAATTACCTCCCTTGTGGATTTCAATATTAAATAAACTTAGTCTAATTTTATTTTTTAAAATTGCATGTTGCTTGTCTATTTGATTTTACATTTAGAATGTGTTACTCCGTAGTCTTTCAAAACTTGACCATTTATTTCTTCTGGATTTTGTTTTCAATCACTTTTCTTAAGAATTTTCTTCTTTCTTCACCAATCATTTCTATGGGAAGTTAATATTAATAATACTTTTAGTTGTCCTCTTATAATTGAAATTATGCTTATTCAGTAGATAGTGAACTCTGGGAGCTAGTGGTAGAGGTCGGGAGGGTGAATGACAGGATGATGAGCATTAAGCTAGTTGTTGGAGGGCTTACTCTTAATGTTATGAGTGCTTACGCACTGCAAATGGGCTTGGACGAGGAGGTCAAAAAGCACTTCTTGGAGGTTTTGGACGAGGTCATACGATGTATCCTTCTCACTGAGATAATATTTTTAGGAGGAGATTCCAATGGCTAGACCGGGACAACTTCTATGGGCTTTGATGATGTGCATGGAAATTTCGGTTTTGGGGATAGAAATTTAGGAGTTGCACGTTTGGACTTTGCAAGAGCCTTGATTTGGTGATAGTTAACTCATGTTTTCAGTAAGAGGAGCACTTGGTCACTTCTTGAAGTATGGTGGACTACCTACTCTTTAGGAAGAGTAATAAAGGTTTAGACAAGGACTGCAAAGTTATTTTGAGTGAGAACCTTAAAACCCAACACAAACTCTCAGTAGTGGATCTAGAGATTAAAAGAAATAGGACGAAGAGGGCTTTGTATGGCCAACCAAGAATTAAGTGGGGTGGATGGGGGGATTTCTTAAGGATAAAATCCAAGAGTTGAGAGAGAAGTTTATGGCTATGGGGGCATGGGAGAGTAGTGGGGACGCTGAAAGTATGTGGAGTAGGACAATTACTTGTATTAGGGAAGGAACTAAGGAGATGTTAGGGGTATTGAAGAGAAATTTTGGTGGGCATAGACAAAACATGAGGTGGAATAGAGAGTATTGAAGCCAAGAAGGTTGCTTACAGGAAGTTCAACAACAACATACCCCATGAAATCCCACAAAGTGTGGTATGAGGAGGGTAGAGTGTAAACAGGCTTTAGTGATGTTCTGAAAGATCCTCGACTCAAACAAATCAAATTGTAATTAAAAGAAAAATGGCAGGGGAGAGAAACATGACAACAAATAGCTTATGGAAAGTTCGTAGAGACAAAATACAAGGAGGAGAAGACAACGAATAGGGAGAGGTATAAGGAAGCAAGGATAGTGGTCACGACGACTAAAATGACATTATTCTAATGCTTGTACGAAGAACTAGAGGACATAGGTGGGGAAAATATTGTATAGGCTCTCCAAGACCATAGAAAGGAGGACATGTGATCTAGACCCAAGTGAGGTGCATTAAAGACGACGATGGTTAAGTATTGGTGAAGAAGGTTCTCATAAATCGAAGATGGCGGACTTACTTCCATAAACTCCTAAATGAAGTGGGGACAGGAATGTTGTGCAAAGATCTAAGAGTTTTCTTTTCTTCTATATAAATTCAATTGCTTCAACACATGTATCAAAAGCTATTTGTAACGACATGTGGTTAAGATTAACCAGCTGGCTTGTGGAAAAACAAGATTCTACAATTCTCATAGCGAAAAGTGTGTGTAAATATTTTATCCATTCTCACAGAAATGCTGGCCCTTCCGTACTTGTTCTAACACTCCATTTAGGGAAGTGAAAGGGTGTATTTGTGTGGGGGTGGGGGTGGGGAGTTAATGATTTAGTTCTTGTGTTACATTGTGGTTTACTCAAAAGGCATTGTTGGAATCGGAGATTACAAAATGGTTGTGAGAAATATGGGAGAAGAATATTATTAAATTGTGTATCTACATTATTACATTGAGGCCCTAATTATAGACACTACATTAGGATCTTTTTCTAAATAAGATTCTATATACTATTCCTACTCCTATTCTTATTCTAAGTAGGATTGTATATACTATTATTGTTCCGATTCATATTCTAGCACTCCCCCTCAAGCTAGTGCATACAAGTCATATGTACCTAGCTTGATACAAATGTAGTTAATACAAGGACCGATAAGGGGCTTGGTGAGATATTTGCTTGTTGATCACTCAACTTCACAACATTGGTAGTCAATCTCAATGTGCTTAGTCCTCTCATGAAATACTGGATTTGATGCTTAGTGTCGATAAAATACAGAGTGATAAATTCCTGAATTATAGTGTTGCACTTCCCAAATCAAGCTTGAGAAGACTGTTTCAGACCATAGAGCGACTTACGTAATTGACATACAAGGCTACCAAACTCTCCTGAGCAACAAAATTAGGTGGTTGCTCCATATAGACTTTTCACAATGCAGCGGTCACCGGAAAGTGCTCAAAATCTGGTATAAGATATATGGATCGTCTTGGAACCAATAGATGAGTTGATATTAAATAAGAAAGTCATTGAAAAACTGGTTGTAACATGCTTATGCGTCGGAGTATTAGATTTGATGGCGGAAAATGGTCACAATATGAGAAATGAAATTATATGGATAGGGTCGGAATGATGGCACGACCCTACACAAATAAGAAAGTAGTCAACGAAAAGAATGGTGCTATGCAAATCAAATATGAAAAAGTAGTCACCAGAAAGATGGCACGGTGCTACATAAATTAAACATGAAAAAGTAGTCACTAGAAAAATGGCATAGTGCTACACACAAATTAAATACGAAAAAAGTAGTCACCGGAAAGATGGCACGGTCTACACAAAATAAAGTAGTCACCGAGATGATGGCACCATTCTACACAAGAAAGTAGTGCAAATCAAATATGAAAAAGTAGTCACCGGAAATATGGCATGGTGCTATATATATTGAACATGAAAAAGTAGTCACCAGAAAAATAGCATAGTGCTACACACAAATTAAATATGAAAAAAGTAGTCACCGGAAAATGGCACAGTCTACACGAAATAAAGTAGTCACCGAAATGATGGCACGGTTCTACACAAAATAAAGTAGTCACCGGAAGGATGACATAGTGCTGCACAAAATAAAGTAGTCACCGGAATGATGACACGGTGCTACATAAATCAAATATAAGAAAGTAGTCACCGGAAAGATGACACAGTGTTACACAAATTAAATATAAGAAAGTAGTCACCGGAATGATGTCACGGTGTTACACAAAGCAGATATGAGAAAGTAGTCACCAGAAAGATGGCATGGTGTTACACAAACACTAGCGGATACGGGTTGACACAAAACAACCTTAGAAAGTCACCAGAAATTGACGCACGGTGACCTTTTTGACTAAGTTTTCTTCCCCTGAATATGTCAATATGGGGTTCATGCATATGTCATTGGCCCTAATTTGTTAACATAACCAATGGCCAGACGGGCAACATATATGGGTCATAGCCACCCACCGGCAGCGGAAGCTGTTTTTTTTTTAAATTTTCTACCAAGATTGTAGAAGCTCTTATACCATATGAGAGATATTGGAAAAAATATTATTGAATTACATTGAGACCCTATTTATAGACACTATAATAGGCTCTTTTTCCAACTAGGACATTTCATTATAATCTTTTTTCAAATAGGATTCTATATACTATTTCTGCTCCAATTCCTATTCTAAACAGGACTGTATATAATATTATTGTTCCTATTTATATTCTAACACTGGTAATGGAATAAATCCAAGTGGGGCTAGTGTTTGCTTGCCTGTAGTTTGAGGAGAGGAATTTAGAATTGGGTCACTGGTGTTTTCAAGGGGCGAATGGAAAGGAGTCTAGTTTGTAGGGCTAGCTTGGGTCCGTGTGAATTGATGGTATGTTTGGGTGGATAGATGAGGAGAGGTCTATGGTATAAAATGGTGACAAATATATTTTTTAGTATGACAGTATTCTTGTTTCACTTTCTCCATTACTGATTTCTGAAACTGGAGATTATGTGGCTAACTTGTTCAAAATTGACATGCAATCAAGTGCTCAGTTCTTACCAATTGTTAAGATATATGTTGGATTGCAGGGGGGACATTTTTATGGGATCTATAGAAAAGTTCAGCTAAAGCCACTACAGTGGGTTAAAGTGCCTAAATCTAATGGTGAAGGTGAAGAAGAAAGACCTACTGAAGCTCTTATGGTTCTAAAATATGGAGGTGTTCTCACTCATGCTGGAAGAAAGCAGGTTCGACTACACAGTAATATTTAGTTTAATGTTTCCTTCTGTCTTGCCCAACTTTAACCTTTCTTCTTGTTTTTTGAAATTTCTTGGCAGGCTGAAGAGCTTGGAAGATACTTCCGTAATGACATATATCCAGGTTTGGCATGAATTCTTGGACGTCTCACATTTCCAAACTTTTACTCCAAAATTCATATCATGTCATCCTTTTGATAATGTTTTCTGACTTGACATTTAGAAATTTCCAGATAAACTACTTCCTACTTAAACCCCTTGTAAAAGAATGCTGTGTCCAATCTCTGTAGATGCAGATGATTAATGATTTTTGACTGAACTTTTTTTTTCCGCGTTTTGGTCAGTCAGATATCTTGTATTTGGGGTGTGGGGTGAGGTAATGGTTATTGCATATACTATATTCACTCTGATTTGTACCACAGGTGAAGGTACTGGCCTACTTCGTCTTCATAGTACATATCGTCATGACTTAAAGATATACAGCTCAGATGAGGGTCGTGTGCAGGTTTTCTTCTTTTCTCTTCCTAATAAATTATTGAATATTGGAAGTGTCGACTGTTTTTCTCTTTGTTCTCCAATTCTTTTTCCATGTAACTCTTTGGCATGTCAAATTATCTCGTATGAGTTCTCTAGACTATTCAGCTCTTATGTTTGCAAAAAACTATATTTATTTTCTTTTCTAATTGTTGAGTTTGCGTTGTACACAAATTGTTGGTAGATGTCCGCCGCTGCATTTGCCAAAGGTCTACTTGACTTGGAAGGACAATTGACACCTATCCTGGTCTGTATTCATGTTCAAATCTCTGCTTCTTGTATTGAATTCACAACTGAAATTAAATGAAGTATATATTTCTTTTTCACTTGAAGGTATCACTGGTTAGCAAGGATTCATCTATGCTGGATGGGCTTGCCAATGCCAGTGTTGAGATAAAAGAAGCAAAGGTTGTTCTCTTCTTGCATTGAATTATAAGTTTGTTGTTATATTTGAAGATCTATATCTAGTTCTTATTTGAGTTTGTGGTTGTTTTTTTATCTTTAGTTCTTTTTGTGTTCGAGGATACTTCCATTTTCTGATATGGATTTTAGTAGTGAAGAGTTCAAATGATCTAGCAGTAGCCACAGGCTCCAGTGAAAGCTTAAAGTAGTGATCACATAAGCTTAACCTTTTTGAAATTTTTTTACGTACTGTGATCATATTCAAAGAAAGCTGGCTACTGAATTTTCCCCTTTCGTATTAAAACATGAAGTTGTTGTCAAAGAGTGTTATCATATTTGACTTCAATCTGCTTGTGGACATGACCTTACCACCTATGTTCTACCTAAAATAAGTATTCTTTTATGTAAATTGATATGAAGATTACATTGGAACCCAAAGTGCATGCTGCAAATATTTGCTCTATCATGGTGCTATTGTGATGCATTTGAAGCATATGAGAACCATTGGAATTTGATGGTCTAATACCAGAATTAAGGTACTTTTGACAGAGTGGTTTATCGAATGTCAGAGCCTCCTTTTAGCTTTTGAAAATTACTCGATAGTTTAATGATGCAAGTCATAGATAGTAGTAAATCTTCCAGCATATTGCTCCCAATGTGAGGATCTTTAGGACCTATGAATTCTTACAAGTTTGTGATTGTTAAGATAAGCTTTCCCCTTGTTACAGGCGAGGTTGAATGACATAATTACTTCTGGATCAACGACTAGTGGATCTTCAGAAAAGCCTTGGATGGTTGATGGAGGTGGACTCCCACCTAATGCATCTGAACTTATGCCCAAGTTGGTAAGTCTTAATTTGAATGTCCTGATGGATCAATCTTCTTGACAAAATAAACCTCAAGCATCTGCAGCATGTTTTTCATTCTCATTGTTGCATTTTTATCCTGTTTATGCCCCCGCTCCACTTCCTTTCCTTCTCTGTGACATGGTTTATTTTCAAGCTTTTGGATTTGGTTTTTTGGTGTATTCTTTTCTTTTTTTGTTTTTGGTTGCTTTGGGCCTTTCTATTTTCATCATCTCAAATCTGTCTTGCAATCAGGTGAAATTGACTAAGATGGTGACAGAACAAGTGAAGCTGCTTGCTAAGTATGAAGATGAAGAACTCGCAGAGACAAGTTCCTATGATGTGATTCCTCCATATGATCAAGCTAAAGCACTTGGTAAAACAAATATAGATGTTGATCGTATTGCTGCAGGCTTACCTTGTGGCAGTGAGGGATTTCTACTCATGTATGTGCGTTGGAGAAAACTTGAGAGAGATTTATATAATGAACGCAAAGAGTAAGCTGTTTCTAGTTGAATTTAACTTCTTTTATAATTGAATATTTTATAGCTACTCAGACCTGTAGATACTTTGCGATTGTCCTTCATTGAATCTGTGCTATTGATTTTTTTTATTAAAGTGGTATCTTTATTGCTTATATTCTCCCTAACACACTATTCAATTACAGTCGTTATGATATCACTCAAATTCCAGATGTTTATGACTCTTGCAAGTAAGTCAGCTCTCTGACATGCCTTATCGCTTTCTTAATGCAAAAAAACATGAAGGATTTTCTTCATTTAAGTTCCACTGAAAGACCATAATATACATAGTGTCTGTTTTAGTTATTTTCTGAATTATTTCACAGGTATGATCGTGTGCACAACTCACATCTAAAGCTAGAGGATTTGGATGAACTCTTTGAAGTTGCAAAGGTACAAACAAGTTAGAAAAAAGTGTACTGTTTTGAGCTCCCCAAGTTTTTTCTCAGTAGTGACAAATAATTGTGATGGTGCTGTTGATTTAGTGGCTTATCTTTAGGCTACTAGTTTCCTGTGTACATTGTCTATGTTGTCGTACAATGAGGATTTTGCAGTGTTTACTTAAGAGTAAGCATGTCTAACTCCTATAAAATATTATTCTGCTTTTGTCTTTCAGCTCCTCGCAGACGGTGTTATTCCCAATGAGTATGGGATCAATCCAAAGCAGAAGCTGAAGATTGGATCAAAAGTAAAGTTCTTCAGAGCTATTTGCATTTTTCACATTTTTCCTCTGTGAGTTAGAATAATTTATACCTACTTCTTGTCTACCTATTACATGTACTGTCACTGATGACCCAAAATTAATTTTTAGTCTTAAGAGTGAACAAAGAAGTGGATGGACTTGGAAAGACAGTTTTGGTATGTCTCTTAGCTTGCAGAGTTACCTTCTGCTTCTGTTAGGGTATATCTAGATGGAATCCTCTGCCCCTATGCCTCTAGTCAAATAATAGTGTGCGCTACAACCTAGAACATCTGGTTTATGAGTTAAAGAGTGTTGAGGTTTACCACTGTATATTGAGGCAAGGAATGCAAGCAAGTTCATGTGGATGACTTTTTTGCTTGCTGGTCTGACTATGCTAAAAATTAACATAAAGTAGCTCTGAGTATGGTCAGGAGTCCCTTTAATTACATTTAAATCATATATCTGGTAGACCTTTGCTTTATTGTAAATGAAAGCTACATAGAGACTTGAATACATCATCTAAGATTTTGACATTTTAGATTGCTCGCCGATTGTTGGGTAAAATTTTGATTGATCTGAGGAATACTCGGGAAGAAGCTCTAAGCGTTGCTGACTTGAAGAGTAGTCAAGACCACGATTCAGCAGTGAATGAGACGGGGAATGAAGATTCAGAATATCATCCCAAGCTTAACAATAGGAGTGATCACAACCTTAAAAAAAGAGGTAGCTTCACCAGTGAAAAATCAACAGACCAGGATGATGATGAGGACAAAGAGACCAAGTACCGGTTAGATCCAAAGTATGTGGTCTTTATCATTAATAAATAAAGATGTTTGCTGAATCCGTATTTCATCTTATGGACATTTAGACATTGCTCCAAAAATAAAGGAAAATCTGCTAATACTTCTACTATATTATTTGTGATGTTTTCTGATTTTCTTTTGTCAGGTATGCAAATGTGAGGACACCAGAAAGACATGTGCGGACACGCCTTTACTTTACATCAGTGAGTGAAAACCTCCAATTGAGTGTTGTAATTATTTCTAGTTTTCTACTGTATTGTGCATCAACTGCCAGTGCTTTTCTTCCATTCTTCCTCTTAATCCTGAACCCTACATCCTTAATTTTCTAGCTATAACTGGCTAAACATAAAAACAAAAAGTATAACACGTAGAAATATGACAGTCCATAAATATAAATAACGGTGGCGATACATGTTTAAAGGTGTGAATGAGAAATGAAGGGTTGTGACTTTTCCGAAGAGTTGTCCTTTACGAAAGGTTGTGTCTTTTCTAAAGGGTTGTGACCGTTCTTAAAGGTTGTGCCTTTTCCAAAGGGTTTTGACCTTTCTAAAAGGTTGTCCCTTTTCCAAAGGATTGTGACCTCTCTGATAAGGCACAATTAACACATTTTCATACTACCCTTTTTGTTGGCTATAAATAGAGGGGTTTTCTCTCATTTTTCTGCATCGAATTTTCCTTCTCTTTCATACATTTTCTTTAACGAAATAGAGGTTTTATGTGATCTCGTTGCTACTATTTGAGTTTGACGAAGTTATCGAAGTTTGAGGTACCATTACTTCTTTAATAGTTTATCCGTCTTATCTTGGGAGGAAATAATCCACAACCTCGGGTACAGTGAGCGGATTAAATTCCTTAAGGACACAGTTAGTTCTGTGGACTCGGATAGTAAATTTTTTCATCTTAATTGTTTCTGGTTTACCATTCTGAATACAGGATATAACAAGCTTAATGAATTTAGTTATTTTTTCCTATATTTGTTTTTATCTAACTGTGAGAAGTAAATGAACAACTGTTGTCTCCTAACAATATTAGAATATGAGTTTAGTTTCTCATTGAATTCAATGCATTCGAAGAAAAAATAGAGTATGATGGAAACTGGATTTTATTTTAGCAAGAGATGGTACAAATCTGATTTGAAAGGTTATGGGAAATTAATGGATGCGTGGTTGACACTTCACCTTGCTGTCATTTTATCTCAAACAAGAAAAGTTACTTGTATGGCATCATTGCTCGCAGATAGATATGATTCAATGGGAGTTAAAATTGGGTTCTATCTTTATTTTTCATTATGTGATGATCACAAAATATATTTTTATTATTAATAATTTGTATTCTGTTTGGAAACTACTATAATTTTCTACTTATTGTGAAATTTGATTGTGTCTGATTTTCAGAGACTAAAATCTTTTGATTTTCTACTCCTTTGGTTTGAAGAATGTAAAAACTTTACCTGATAAATTAGACTGTACATTTGGTTCGAAGAATATAAAAACTTCACCAATTTATTGAACACACTATTTGAATGAATATTCCGACTTGAAGGGTATAAAAACTTCGTCAGGAATATTAAGGCTAAACGATTTGAAGAATATAAAAACTTCATCATTAACTAGAAACAGTGTTATATTTATGGTTTGTGGAGATTATAAACTCTTGGTTTTCTATTCCATCTGAATCTAAAACTTATTTGAAGTCATAAAAACTTCATGAGCATTGAAAGTTCATTCAGTTGACAACTTGAAGAATATAAAAACTTCATAGTTAACTAGAAACAAGTTGTACAAAGATTCAGTCTTTATTGTTAGTATTCTAAATACTAAATGTGACAGAAGGAAAAAAATACTAGTGAGATAAAATTAGTGATTTTGTGCCACCTATGGCTGTCTCTATGGATTATACTTTGACATTTTGTAAAGATTGTCAAAGGGAATTGAAGCACTAACAATTTTTTTGTAGAATATAATTTCCAAAAGAGACTTCATGATGACAATGTGTATTTCGATGGTATACAACTTGAAAGCATGGAAAGAAAATATGTGGAAAATTATTTTCAAGTACTTGAAAAATATTTTTGAGCATGTTTACAATGTGGGGTTCTTTGCTTGTGATAAAGACCAAATTCGATTTGGTTTCTGATTTAAATGTTGAAGCACAAGACATAAAATTCAATGAAATTCGTGTATTATGTTAGACCCACAAAATTCTTGGAGTATATTTGATATTGTGGGCCTAATTAGAGAAGGAGTAGATAGATCATCAAAGGAAATGGGACTATGGCCGAGGACAAGTCATTGTGACGGTAACTCTACTTAGAAGACTAGAGATCCCAAGATCTAGGTTCAAGGAGATCAAACAGAGTCATTGATGACGGTTCAACATTATCAAAATTATTTTATGGTCCATTCTCATGATGAGGCAATGTTCAGTAACAAGGATAAAGGCTTTAAGACTTTATAATGATTTCTAAATTTGATACATGGTATATCAAATGGTGTATCTACGGGATAACACATTTAGATATCAGCTATGTAAGTGTGAAGTGTAAGCTGCTTCAAGGAAAATTTGGTAAGACCAATTCTCTACGCACTTATAAACCAAGACGTGTTCATGACTGAAACGAACAAAACAATGAGAACCAAAAAATAGTTAAAGGGTTGATTGTGTGAGTTATGTTGTCTAGATATATACCAAAGCTCGACGGTTCAAAGATATCAAATCTACCGATTGACCGAGTATATCCGATATACATTCATTATAGAAAGTTTAAAGGGAAAATCCTTACTTATGAATCACACAGTTTTTCATGCATATGTTTCAACGATAGTCATTCCCCATTTATGTGGGGAATTGTTGGGTTTTAAAGGTGTGAATGAGAAATGAAAGGGTTGTGATTTTTCGAAGAGTTGTCCTTTACGAAAGGTTGTGCCTTTTCTAAAGGGTTGTGACTGTTTTCAAAGGTTGTGACCTTTCTAAAAGGTTGTCCCTTTTCCAAAGGGTTGTGACCTCTCCGATAAGGCACAATTAACACTTTTTCATACTACCCTTTGTTGACTCTAAATAGAGAGATTTTTCTCTCAATTTTCTGCATCAAATTTTCCCTTCATTTTATACATTTTCTTAAAAACGAAATAGAGCCTTTGTGTGACCTCGTTGCTGCTATTTGAGTTCGACGAAGTTATCGAACTTTGAGGTACCGCTACTTCTTTATCAGTTTATCTGTTTTATCTTGGGAGGAAATAATCCACAACCTCGGGTACAACGATGGGATTAAATTCCTTAAGGACACACAATCATTTTTGTGGACTCAGATAGTTTATTTATGTAAAGTCATGCTGAAATAGCAGGGAGCAAAGTTCAAGTCAACTTTTATGTGGTCTAACATGAATGGTTTTCACCTGATTCTGACTTTTAAAGTCTGGGGAAAACACTTGATGCCAGCAGCAGGATGAAGTGATGATGTTACATGAAGTGCCTCAAAAACCTTTTCTTATCTTTCTTCAACTGGCTTTACGTTATGTTACAAACTCTATATTCCCATAGCTTTGTATTTCCTTCCTTAAAATATCGATTCTACTAATTTTCTGATTAAATTATTGTTTAATTCTTGTAGTGCTTTTCAATCTTTGTTTTTTTTCTTGTCTTGTCTGTTTTAGATTTACCATTAATTTTAATTTGTATTATTTATCTTCCCTTGTTTAACATTCTAGTTTTACAATTGTTTGATGGCCAGGAGTCACATATACATTCCTTGATGAATGTTATTCGTTACTGCAACTTGAATGAGTCTCTTCATGGAGAGGCCAGCCTTGTGTGTGACAATGCTTTAGATCGCTTGTTCAGAACCAAGGAGCTTGACTACATGAGTCATATTGTATTGAGGATGTTTGAGAACACAGAGGTTGGTACAACCTAGTGATCCTTAACTGAGGCACAAATAAAAACAAACCACAGTATTACTAGTTACTGAAGTGTATACCTGTCTTTTTTTTTGCTTCCGTAGAATTGATTTGAAGTTAAAAACCTGCTTTACTTTGTGTTTTGAGAAGGTAGTGATGGTGCATCATTGCCTCTTCCTCTTGTTCTTGCTATTTCACAAATAACAAGTGTTATCTTGAATGTGAGGTGTATAAGAACTGAGAATAACTTTCAACCTTTTCATTTATATTCGATAAGATAAAAAGGTGTTCTTTCCAAACCTATTCAGCATAATAAGACCCTCTGCCTTCTTCGTTGGTATAAAGTCAGGTATGATTCTTGATTTTAATGGACATAGGGTATGGATCAATGGAAAAGATAATGCAGCTAAATAAATATGCATTATTTTGAGACCTAAGAATTGATTAAAATAGGCAACTTAATACAAGTATAAATCCAGCAGATTTAACATCTTCCAGTGTTCCCATTCAAACTGTGTTCAAAAGGCAACTTGTTTCGACGGAAATATTTTTTTGGCTATTAGAAGTAAATGTGTGAAGTACAAATCAAGATTTGTGTTTTCTTATGTTGGAAATGAGAAACTCATGTGGGAAATGTCTACCGGATTCATTTCCTATCTTTATTTGTTTTAGGTGGCTTTGGAAGACCCAAAAAGGTTTCGCATAGAAATGACTTTCAGCCGTGGAGCAGATCTATCATCATTAGAGGTACTTTGTATCCTTTTCAAGTAATAAAAAAAGATATCTGTATCCACACTCTGTGAAGTCCTAGAGTTATTCTCACGTATGGTCACACAACTGTATCCACTATAACAATAAAGTCATATTTTGTCACATTAAAGTAATTGAACTTTTTTATTTTTTTTTATTTTTTATAACCGAGAAATCCGTCTGTGACCCGCCCTTTGGATCAATCATAGCCTTCTAAACTCGGTGGATAATGGGCCCGCCCCTCTACCCTTCTCCACTTAAATACCGGGTTTCGCTTTGCATGGTGTGGGGCTTGAACCTGCGACCTAAGCCACAAATCCTCCACTTTTTGCCACTTGAGCTAGGCCTTGGGGGCTGAACTTTACCCACTATAAAATAGTAAATTCTCTAAATTTACCCACTATAACAACAAAACGTACCCATCAAGGTGACTTTACAGATACAATTGGTAATATTTTGTGATTTTACTGGTTTTAATGTGAAGAAAAGTAGTTCTGTGGTGTTATAGTGGATATATTTCTGTTAGCGACTGCAAGTGAAATTAAAACCGTGTTTCATTGAAGGTCTAATAATTTCTGAATAGTGCTCACAGTAGAAGCACACTCACATTGATAAGTTTGCAGAAATTCGAGTCGTTTGATTTAGTTTGTTTGCATGCAGAAAAATGATAAGGAAGCGAGTTCATGGCATCAGGAGCACATATTGCCAGTTATGGTTCCTGAAAGGCTTCAAGAAGTGGGATCACATCTTACATGGGATAATATGGAAAATATGATTCATCCATTCGCCATGCCGGCTGAAGATTTCCCCCCACCATCAACCCCTCAAGGTTTCTCAGGCTACTTTTCAAAAAGTGCATTAGTTCTAGAGCGCCTCGCTAACTTATGGTCCTTTCACAAGTATGGGAACTCTAATGGCAAGTAGTGCCTTCCTTTTTGTTTTCCCTTTTCGTTTACTCTAACCGAGGTTTGAGATTGTCGTATTGAGGAATCAATAGTAGCTGGAGAGTTCTGGGAAAACATTATTGAAAATGTCTTCCTTTTTTCCTTGATACCATCATTATCATTCATTCATATAAGTAATGGAAAGTTTTGCAATGAACCGCCACCTCACATAAATGTTTAGAGAATCAGCCTAAAACTGATTTACTTGAGATTCTTAGCAGTCTCTTGTGTATATGCTGATGTTCTAGAGAGAATAAATTATATGATCACCCATTATAGCAAATTATCTATGAGTCTTGTTTTTTTTTTTTTTATACAAACAAATTCACTTAACTGATATTTTTTTTTTTTACAATGTAAAGTAAGTAGTTGTTTCCGAAAGACCATCATATATCTTTTCTTCAGTGAAGAAACGGTAGAGAAAGATTAGAAATATTATGCAACTTCGGCACTATTTAATTCTTTTTTTTGCACGGATTGTTTCTTGAAAAAAATATGTTTATAAAATTAATTAAATAAAAGAATATATTATAAGGATAAATATTAATTTTATATATATATATATATATATATTTTATATTAATAATAATTATGTCAAAAGAAATGTTAAACAAAATGAAGCATAATATCATTACCACAAAGGAAGTAAGTGTCATAAATCAAACTTGAAACGAAATTTATGTTTATGGTACCACGTAGGGATGTACAAAATCGAACCGAGAATCGAATTAAATTGTAAATCAAGTCAAATCGGAAAAAAAATCGACTAGTAGTTTGATTTGACTTGGTTTGGTATTGAAAAAAAAAATCCAACTATATTTGGGTTGGTTTGGTTTTAACTAAAAAAAATCAACCCGAGACCAAACCAACCCGACATTATATAGATAATTTTAAAATTTTATTTTATACACAAAAATATTTACTTTGATATAATTTTTAAATATTTCTTATATTTTTTCATAGTTTTTATCTTTTAATATATTATTTCAAG